AGCAAAGTATCCGCTAAGTTACAGAAAGTACCTTGTAACGTTTGGAAAAGTAACCATTAAGCCTTATGAAAGTTACAGGTGGGTAAGTTCTTGAAAAGTTAAGTCTAAGTGCTGAAAGAAGTTCTGGGAAAGTACACGGTAAGTTATTGGAAAGTAAAAAGTAAAATTCATAAAGTACCAAAAAGGTAGAGGATAAGTTTGGGAAGTTACAGGACATTACCTCCCATTTCTTTTATTAAAGTTGCTGGTGTTTTCCATACAGTAACTGGTCCACTTAAAAACAATTACATTTTAGGACAAAAAGAGCTGCAAGTATCCATATCCTAGGCAAGAAGAGGCCTTCTTTTGCCACCCTACCCAAAACTGTAAAAAAAAAAAAAAAAAAAAAATGTGTGAAATTTATATTGAATGTATATCTAATGTATATGTATGTTAAAATGTAAACACATTTAAAGCTAAATAAGCAATTAAATTATTGTTCTTACAAGTTATATAACAAAACAAACAATTTTGTACTTACATCACAGAGTCCTCCAGTCACAGAAAAACTGTCCTTTGAAGTAACAGCCTCATCTGTGGTGGAGATCATGTCTGATGACACGGTTCCAGGACTGGACAAGTGTTGGAAAGAATCATCCGACCTTCTCTCATCCGATGGAAGTTTTTCCACAGAAGAACAGACAAATGGAAGTTCTGGGGATGAAGTCCTCCGAGATTACGTAACTCTAAATAAGGATCTTTCCGTTTTCTGTCTCAATGAAAACTGTTATGTGTATGAGCAGTGTAATGATGGAGAAGATCCTGAGACAGGAAATAAGCTAATTAAAACATGTCTATGTCTTAAGCCCTGCTCTTGCAACAACTACTCTAACGGTTCTTACGTACCCATGGCCCAGTGTACAGATGGCTTTAATTATAAAGTCCCAAATGGAAAGGGTGCACGGAATCCTTACAGTAACCTTCCACTTACATAAACCTGTAACAAGAGTGCTTCCAACTTATATTCACTGTACAAAAGGAAAGCAGTTCACATAGAAACTACGAGATACTATTTTCACTCAAGAAGTGTTACCAAGCAATATGTACTATCGTTAACACACAGTTTTCACTGGCAGAGGGATTTTGTTATGTTTTTTGTTGTTGTTGTTTTTCCAAGGTATATTGAAGATGATACTGAACATTAAAGATTCGAAGCAAAGGGGATTTTTAGGAGCAACCTTAACTAATTAAACTACAATAGGTAGAGCTAGCCTTTATATTCTTTCCAACTTGGAGACTCAAAGAGAAAAGACGCAATTAGAAAGATATTATTGACATAATTAATCAAAAAGTTATTTGCCTGTCAGAACCCAGCAGGAGACATTACGCTGTAAATCGACATGAGCTTGGATGAATAACTTAGGAAAGGGATTAGAGTAGTCTTACCCCCGGGGCCAGTACATTGGTGGTGGAACAAGCCAGAGGATGAGACGGTCTAAGATTAGACTACGAGAGAGGGAGAATGGTCAAAGTTCAGCTGAAGCACTGAATGGGGAAGCTGGGCCTTCTGAATGATGAACTTCTGGACAAACAATTGGCTTCGGAGAGGGTGCGGCCCATCTTCCATTGGTCGAAGCTTGAGCGAGGGACATCAGCAGGTGTTCCAGGTTATCGGATTAAGCTTTATTTGGCATTAAGTTCTGCTAATAGCAATTTGTTTATTGTTCTACAGTAATGGACAAGTGCAAACATTTTTATTTATCTGTTGTAGTACTATACGCCTACCAGGATGAACAACTATTTCAAAATGAATGAAATGTCAAAAAATGTTTATCACTGATATTATTTTAGGTAAAGCATTACTGTAATAATTCAAAGCTTGTGTAATTAACAGAAATGTCCAAGTGTTGTTATGAAAAATAAATATGAAATTTAAAAAAATAAACGCTCTCAGAATTATTATGCATGGTAATATATAAAAATGTGAAAAATCTAAAAAAAACAACATTTATTTGACTTAAGTTTTAACATAGTTTATAGTAGTTCAGAGAAATAAAACAAAATATGTGATAAATTATTCAAAGTTACAATTATAATTAAGTCATCACCAAAAAGTTTCATCCATCCATCCTTGCATAGTTTATATCGAAATTTATTTCACAGTAGAAATTTTGCTTTTTTAGAAGAAAAAAAATACTCAAAAGAACAGGCAACCAGAAGAAAGGAATCAGTTCTGGAAAAGCATGATACGCCCTAGGCTCTGATCTGTCATATGTGTTTGATGCCACTAGGTAGCAGCAAATATCAACATGCTGAAATGTGTTCTTACAACCGGGGACACTGCAAGAGCACTACTACTAAACCATAACCACAAATTTACTTTTTTTACGGCCTTCAGATCTTTTCAACTTCATCCATACCTGTTTAAAATATAAATATAAAGATACCATTCTTAGTTCTATAGGTGATTTTAACTCAAATATAACAAAAAAGACTCAAAACACAGGTGAAAGCTAATGTCAATTTATTCATAAAACTGGAAAAAAAAACTTCAAAGAAGTGTCCAACAAATTGGAATTAAATTCAAAACACCTGAGATGAAACAATAAAACTGTAACACTGAGAATGGTTGATGGCATTGATGAAATGGTGTAAATCCACAATTATTGATCCTTTTAGAGCTTGAGATCTAATTCAGATTTTATCTGTGGCCAGAATGAAAGACTTTTTCAATATAACTGCATTGGTTCTGTATAACAGTCTGTGCATATTGGATCATCTCACAGCAGCTCAAGCATTAGAAAGAAAACTCTGTCCTACTACTGTTTGCTATCACATTAGCAGCAGCAGATCATCTCATCCATGGCGTCTAGGAAGCTGCATGATGTCACAGTCGTAAATTAGTTTAAAGTTGTCCATGAGGCATTAGGAGAAAGGTGGGAGACAGAATGTGTTCAAAGTGAGACAGGCAAGAGAAAGAGAACATTAAAAAGAGCCAGTGTTTACTCGCCAAGCAGCTTTTCCTCCCAACATGAATTCTTTCCATGTTTCATCACTGCCCACTTGCCCATACGCTAACGTCTATGGGGGGAGGTTGAGTCACCTCCTGATGTCATTACCTCAACGTTCACAGACAATCACACCAAAAAGCAGAGTGGCCTCAGATGTGATGGACATACAGGGTTATGGTTTATTATAGAGCACATGTTTGTATTTAGAGGGTTGTCATGTTTACAGGCCTAAAACACGATTTCGCCAGCAACGGAAATGAAGCTACTTAAGCAGCAACAATATTATGGAGGCTCATATTGGGAAACCATCGCACAGTTGCGGTTAACAGGCTCTGAAAACGAACTGCACAGACCAATCACATTTGGTCCTGTTAGATTTTTGCAACAGAGTGCTGAGAGGATGGCATACATCCGTCTTTGAAGGAAAAAACTGCAAACCAGGAAAAACAAACAAGCAGTGTAATCAAAAGCATAGGCAGAACTAATGATGTTGGGGAAAGTGCAGCAACCTCAGAGTCATTCAGTGGGAGAAAAGTAATTGATTTTCCACAAAGGCACAGGCAAAAGTAGGAAGGGTTGCTGAGTTGCTTCATATAAAAGTTGAGTTTATCATTCTATAACAATACAATGCCCTTGAACTTTTTTTTTTTTTTTTACATATTGTCACATCCCAATCCATTTTTTAGCATATTATTTGTATTCTAGCAACAAGTAATGGACACCCCTTTATCACAGACAGGTTTTAATCCTGGGATTGCCCTGCATTAGATATCTGCATATTCCCATCACTTCGTACCAGCTGTTGCTAAAGCAAAGCATCCTCAAAGTACAGTATGATGCTACAACCACCTTATTTTAAAATAGGAATTGACTCTTCAGAAACAAACGTTTTTTCCAAAGAAAGCATTTTGCACTGAGGTCGAGAGTTCAAAAAACTCAATGTTGTTCTTATTTGAGTAGAACACCTTTGTCCCCATACATTGCTTCTGATCATTCTTCTGTTAAGACCTGATTTGGGGAGTGGACAACTAGCTGCGTTATCAGCAAATTCCCCTACCTGAGCTGTGGCTCTCCACAGCTCCTTCAGAGGCACCATGGGCTACATGGCTGCTTGTCTAATTGATTTCCTTGCCGATGTGTCAGTTTGGACTTTGGCCTAATATCTGTAGGCTTTCAGTTGTGCCATACTCTTTCGTTAACCCATAACTTGAAATTATTATTACCGTAGTATTTTTTTGATATTATGGTATAAGCTAATCTTCACTTACATTTCTCCCGACTTTATGTCTGACACATGTATTCCTTTGTCTTCATGGTTATCCGATAATGATTTATTACACATGTTCTACAACAGAACAACTGTATTAACATCAATATTTAGTACATAAAGGTATATTTATTTACTAATAAAGAGATTTCTAAAGGTACCTAGTTCCAATAGAAGTTATTTAAGGGTATCAGAGTAAGGATGGTTTAATGTTGCAAAATCTTTCATGTTTTTATTTTAAAGAGAAATGAAAAAAAAAGTCCAATTTTTATTCTTAACTATGCACTGCTTTCTGTTGTTCTATCAAATTACATTAAAAGGAAATGCTATTATATTTGTGGTTGTCATGGCAAAATGAAAAAAAAAAGTTCAATACTTGGATGGCACAGTGAATTCTTAACTAGCCTCTATTTTTTGTTTGTTTTTGTTTTTTACAAAAAAAAATGTTTTAACTGATGGTGCTGTTAGTATCACAAAGCAAACTGCACTCTCATACAAAAACAAAACAGCTTATGAATTCTGAATTTCATTAAACTGGATATCAAAATAAGATTTTAAGGTATAAGAATATTACAATCATCACAGCAGAAGACTTTTCAAGCTTCTTAAATAACAGATTTTCAGAATGACAAACATGGCAGTTGCTACATTGCTCTTTTGAAAAGCATGTGTTGAAATGGTTTCAGTTAGATTTAGCACCATGTGTATGGAATCAGTCAAAAGTTTGCAGTGGATCTACAAAAAAGGGGCAAAGCAAATATTTGCAGCTATGGTTTAGGCTTTAGTGTTAGCTAAACTGGTTTCTTTCATCTTGGTCCAGAATTTTTCTGTTAAAAATATTTCAAACTAATTAGGCACAAGAATACACAAGGTAAATCAAGGTTTAAATTGATGCACATAAACAATATAGGCTAACTCTATACACTTCTTTTTAACAATTGTGTATCTTACAGTTTTTTTTTTTTAGAACAGTGTTATTAAGACGTAGGCATAAAATTAAAAAGAGGTATTTAAGGAATAAGAGCTAATGGTCATATACATTAAATTGCATTCACAGACTAATCAACACTAATGCTATAAAACAGAAGCAGGTTGAATGATCTGAATCAAAATGGCACATATATTCCTGTAATAATTATAAATCAGATTTTACATTATAAGAAATAGCCATTTTTGCTCTGTTGTTGGCTTTTCATGTTGAACACAGTCAGTCTAAATGTTAGAGCACAATACTGCTATATTTAGGTCCAAAATTTAGATTTTTTTTTAAGACACTGGTAACCCAATGTTTTATCTTAATTATTTCACCAAGTCTTAATGTAATTTCAGTGATATCCTAATAGCTTCCACTAGAGTTTATGGAATAAAAACACAAAAAGTGCTTCTCTCTTCCATGTACCTCAATATTTTTGATCAACATTAAGCTATGTACCAAATACAGTGCTTGATCAAAGTGCACTGAAAGGCCCAGTCAGCATGCTCAGATGTTTGTCTTCTTGTTGATGAGGACTGAGCAGCATGTGAGTGCCCCATCCACTTTAACCTTTTCCAAATTGGACACAGGAATCAGCATGTGGTCTTTCAGTTTTTCAAACACCTGCAAGACAGAAGCAAGAACGTCAACAGTGATCTTCATATTAAATAAATGCAACAAAAAAAAAACAGTTTGAAAATGAATGCAACTTCAGGCATGTGACATTGAAAAACATATACATATATATATATATATATATATATATATATATATATATATATATATATATATATATATATATATATATATAAAGCCTACAGAACAATTGCAAAGTAAGAAATCCAAGCTTGGAAGACCTGACAGCTATAGCCAGAGGCAACAGTGAACAGTCAAGGGTTGTACTGTTATTATAGGTCTCAAGGGAAATTTTTACATTCCAACATTTCAAGTAAAAGTACAATTTGAGTTCTCTTCAGGTACACTGGCTTCCCCGTACAGTAAAACAAACAAAAAAAAGGTCTATGTCAGGTTAGGTTAATGGGTTTCACTACTGTACATTGCCCTGAGGTGTATGTGTGTGTTGAGTTGGTGTGTGGGAAGGGTACGCCTGTTTTTTTGAATCAGAGTCAGTACCATTCTCTCTATTTTAAAAACAAAGTGATGACTATTTTATAAGTAAGCTAAACTGTGGAGTAAACAGTATCTGGGGTGGGTTGCCATCCAGTGGCCAAGTTTCTGACAGCAGATAAGCAGGAGTGATTTATTTTCTTTTACAATATTCTACAAATTAAGTTCATAGTGGCAAAGAGGTGCAAACGCACTGGAAATACATAAACATAGAGCAAATGAAAATTAGACTAACGCAGAAAACATCTGTAAAGGAAAAACACTAGTGTTACACCAATACTGATACCAGCATCGGACAGGGCCCTGATACTGAACAAAAATGGTAGTATCGGTATCGTCGAGTACCTTCAAATAGGGCACTGACACCATTTTGAGAGCCAAAAGTTTAATCAACTATTCTTATTAGTCTTTTTCCTGCTTCACAAAGGTAGGCAGCAGCTTGACAAAGCCATGATGGCTATTGTTTTACATCCAAGTAGTATGCAGTTCTTCATATATATATATATATATATATATATATATATATATATATATATATATACACACACAAACATCAATTTCAAACAGATGGTATCGGTATGGCATCGGTATCGGCTGATACTGCACTGCCATTATGGGTGCCAAATAACCCCTGCTAAAGAGAAATGCTAAATCTTAAAATACATAGAGCAGCAAAGGTATTACAAAACTTAATACAAAAAAACAAAAAGAAATAATTCAAACAAGCTCTGGATAATAGTATTGCTCCAGACAGACAACCACCTATTCATAGGGGACTATCGCATGCATTTTGTATGTTTTTATTGCTTAGGCATTTCCAATGGGTTTTATGTTATCTTTTTTATGTTTATGTGCTTGCAGCACATCCACACTTTGCTGCTCACTATTCTCTGTTATTGCAGCATTTCTCATTTGTAGGATTCTCCTATACATGTGTTGTATTTGTGTGTCAGTTTTATTTTTCTGTTTGCAATTCTTATTTTCATCTATCCATTACTTTTTTTCTTCCCTTTGGCCACTGCAGAAAATTGTTTCGCCTTGACTTTGTAACAGTACATTACTCCTAAAGAAAATTTGCATAATTCAGAAAATAAACCTAATATAAAAGAATGAAGTCTGTATAATATAAAGTGTGGCTTTTTACAACCTCCTTAACAATTTTTATGTAAACATAAAAATGTGGTAAATAATGAATATTTTTTTCATTATAGATTTTAAGTTTTTGATTTTATTCTTTCATAACTAAAGAAAGTAAATGTATCTCCTGTCAGCAATTACTAGCAGTTACTAATATGAATATAAACCTCAGAAAACATAAACAATAATTTCATTTCAGATGGATAGAGTCATCAAATTGTTTGTGCTAACACAAATATCAGAAGAGAGGGTCAAAATATTAAGCAAGAGCACATCTCTAAACAGTTTCTGGTCTCCAAGCAAAATCTCAAAACAAAAACAAAAAAAAAAACACAAAAAAAGAAAATATAGTGAGAACTATTACAGCATTCTCAAAAGACCCTTGTAAAGTAATGTGTCACACTGTGGCCTTTTTCCAAAAGAAAACCAAGGTTTTCCTACTGCACTTCCAAACCAGGACATTTTCTTTTTAAACTCTCACTTCAACCCTGCTGTGATACCAAGCTAGGCCTTAAAGCACAACCAGAGGGACCAACTAAACCCACTTATATGGAATGATGCAATATGGTGAACAAAGCTTCTGTTGATGCAGATGATATCTCTAACGTCACTGCACTGAATGCTTAAGGAGTGTTGTGTAATGTAGGAGGTAAAAGCCAGATTCCGGCGTAACTGAAACAATGGCACTCCCCTTTTGCAAACAGGATTATAATAATGGAAACTATGGTTTACATAGATGCTCCCCCACAGTTTTCCATGTTATTCTTTGTTTATACTTTGGCAAAGTTACAACAGTGTGGAAACAATCCTGTGTACAAAAAAGTCTATGTAGGTACAGGAACTTTAAAACAAAATTAGCTGTCATGTTTAAAATGTTCAACAGTAATTGTTGTTCATGCTATGCTTCCTGCCTTTTTAAACTCAAATATCCAGGAAAAGTAATTAGTACTTTTATCTGTTTATCAGTATGGTTTCAGTAAACTCATCCTTAGAAACTACCCTGGTCTGAACATCAGAGGTGTTTCCTGAACAAAGTTATCAGCAGGTTCTGGTACTGTCCAATGCTGTCCACTCAAAGGGATGTGCCCGTAAAATGATCAATTAAAAGGGAAATTAAATGTTTTAGCAAGTTATGTTTTTTTTTTCTTTCCAACAAATTGTTGTAAACGTGGGGGGAAAAAAACTGTTATTACCCTCGTTTATTAAAAGAAAAAAACACAATGGGCACAGAAGTAACTTGAATCTGGCGAAGGAAAAAATAAATAATAATTCTATGAAAATGATCAAAATCACAATCCGGCAACGCTTTTTAACGATTCCTCAATAGCATGATTTAAAACAATACATTAATTAAAACCGGTCTGGACAAAATAATGCTACCCTAGAATTAATATTTCATTGCACAACCTTTTAAAGAAATTACAGCAATAAAGCAATTCCTCACTCTCAATGAGACTTCTGCTCTTCATAGCAGGTATCTTGGCCCACTCCTCATAACCAAACTGCTCCAAGTGTCTCAGGTTTTAAAGGTGCTTTTTTCAGATTTAATGTTTCAGATCCCTCTAAGGCCGAATATTTTTTCAGACTGATTCTCCACTAGTGTGAGAATTTTTTAGATCAGGCTGAGTTTCAGCCTCATCGTGCATCCTGCGTGGTGTAGTATACAGGGGGTAACGAGGGTCAATTAGCCTTTCATGACCACCTCCCCATCAGGAATCGTAAGGTGAAGGGAAAATCAAACATGTTTGAAATTTAGTCGGCCCTCATGAGCAAATCCTGATTTTGAACAGAGGTATTTTGTCTACAAAAAGATTTACCCTTAACCTCGTGCACTGCACATGTGGAAAACATAGGAAATATTCTTCTTATACTGTCTATGTTTTTCTTCCAGATTGAGGAGTCGATTGTGTGGTTTTTGGACATGCAGTGTGAGTAGTTAGATCGCATCAGAGCATCAGTATGTACAGTGTAAGAACATACATTGTGGGTTGTGATATTTTAAACCGTGTTGATTCGTCGTACAGTTTGAGCTGTAGGTGAGTACAAAGATTGAAAATATCGTACAATGTATGCCTACCCTAAGAATGATCAAAAGGATATAGGAGAGAGCATATAGAAGGCGTCTTAGCCATTGTTGGGTTTCTCTAAATGTGTTTTTTGGGCAAATATCCTGTAGCAACTGAAACCTAGATTTCTGACAAAGACTGAGCAGCACATTTCTCTCTTGAATCGATTAATGGTCCTGAGGTGTAATTTTACACCTCAAGACCATTAATTGGTGTTGGCCTATTGGGTTAGAGTAGTGTGCTTGTGGTCTGAGAGGACTGCAGATACATGGTTCGATCCCCACAGCCTCCACTCAGCAAAACCCTTAACCCCATACTTCTCCCCAGGCGCCACACAATGCCAGCCCACTGTTCCCTAAGGGGATGGGTTAAATGCAGAGGTAAATTTCTCCAATGTGAGATCAATAAAGTTAAATTATTATTATTAGCCCCAGAACATAACCGAGCCTTCTCTATGTTTCACTATCAGGAAAGTGTTCTTTTCTTGATCTGCGTAATGTTTTCATCTGTGAACATAGAGCTTATGTGCCTTGGCAAAAACTTCTTTCATCTGTCCATAGAACTCTCTCCCAGAAGCTTTGTGGCTTATCAACATGTAGTTTGGCAAATTCAACTCTGTGTTTTATATGATTTGTTTTCAACAATGCTGTGCACCTTATCTCAGATTAAGTCCACTTAAAACAACAACGAAACTGGTGTTCCATGAGCTTGAAGTTAATCTACAATCTCTTTAGCAGTGTTTCTGGGCTATTTTGTTACCATTTGTACAATCTGTCTCTTTGATTGGCCATCAACTTTCCTCCTGCCGCCATTGAGAGGGAGGTTGGCTATAGACCAATGGATCTTTTTGAATAAGTGCAACTGTAGTAACAGGAACATCAAGCTGCTCAGTGTTATAGCCTGTACCTCTAACATCCTTATCCATGATTTTCTTTCTAATCTCCTGGGACAACTTCCTTTTCTTTCTTTGGTGTCTGTTTAGTGATACACCATGTCACCAAATAGCACAGCTACTATGAGTAGCCCTATATATAGGCCTATTGACTGATTACAATATTGTAGGCACCTGTGGTGCTAGTTGGCAGACAAACCTTGACTTATAGTCACATTACTTTCAATATTTGTTAGAGGTACCATCATGTTTCTTCATGCCTGTTTCATGAGTTTATTTTTTAAATCATACCACTGACTTAAATGTGTTAATTTGTATTCAATATTACTTATGTCATGTTTAAGTTATATATGTGACCATTGCAGGGTTGTCTTTCATTAAACAAGTTTTGCTGACAATTT